TCTTTTCTTTTTAAATAATGTGGTGCTCCAACGATAAGGATGGTCATCTGGGAGCCATCTTCTGTGATAATCAAACCAACACGTCTTCCGTCCGTGTTTCAGCTGAAACGTGTTGGTGTTATCTTGACAATGCGGACAAGATAACCGTCAGTGCGTTGTCCACCCAGACAAAATACCATAGGCTGGAAAATCGCTTATAGTCCACATTAGCACCGCTCGCATGTTGAAATTTTGGTGGGTTGAAACATCGAACGCTTCTACACCATGTTCCCATAACATTTGTAACTCATATATCAGTGGCTGCAGAAACACATCAAGTGCTTTCTTAGGATGATCTGGACCGGGAACAAGAATGGTGAGAAAAAGAAACTCTCGTTTCATACACAAAGATGGCAGCAAATTATAAGGTGTCATGATAACTGGCCACAATGAATATTGCCTCCCATGCTTCCCAAAAGGATTAAAACCATCTGTCGACAAACCCAAATAAACGTTTCTTGACTCACTTGCAAAGTCGGATAAACTGATTGAAAATGTTTCCATGCTTCTGCATCCGACGGGTGCACAATTACACTGTCTGACCTATGTTCTGCATGCCATTTCATTGATCCGCTGTACGCTCTGACTGATACAACCTCTTCAACCTCTCTGCTAACGGTAAATACCACATCCGCTTATATGGTATGGGAACTCTTCCACTAGTGTCCTGATACCGAGGTTTACGACAGAAACGACATGAAGTGCGACCTTCGTCTTCTCTCCAATAAATAATACAATTATCACTACACACGTCTATCACTTGATATGGCAAGCCAAGTCCAGCTACAAGTTTCTGCACCTCATAGTACGAAGCTGGTGAAAGATTATCTTCGGGCAAAATTTCTTTCACAAAATCAGTAATCGCATCCATACAACCCTCGGCCAAATTCCAATCCGTCTTTATGCCCAGCAACCTAGTTGCAGCTGATAATGGTGAATGGCCCTTCTTACAACCATCGTACAAAGACATATTAGCTGCATCTAACATATCAAAGAATCTCCTAGCTTCTATATTCGGTTGCTCTACTCTATCTTCATCTTGAGCGAAAGACGGTGCATTTTCCCTAAACGCATCATTCACCATCTGAAATGTACCTACGTCTACTTCCGTTGATGGTTCCTCTACACTATCCGGAAGATAATATTGACTAGTACTACCATAATCTAGCATTGACTCACTCTCTCCATGCGAATACCATATCTTATAACCCGGCATAAATCCATTCTTAAACAAGTGCTTCTTTACTAAAGCTACCTCGAGTTTTCTATAATTCCGAAAATTTGGACAAGGACATAACATAATACCTGTTTCTAGCGTTATGTCCTGGTTTGATGCAAATAACATGAATTGCCTAAGCCCTTCTTTGAACTCTTCTGTACGTTTTCCTGTCTCAGGATTGTATCTCGGTTTATCCATCCATGAACGAAAATAATCATAAGGATATGGAGAAGACATTTTTGTTGGTATTGTTTATAGTTTTGTTTTGTTTTCTACACATGTAAACTCGTTGGAATATATAAGCAAAATTTCCGAGGGATTTCCGAGGACTTTTAAATTACAATGGCTGCTCCAACGGATACATTAACAGCGACGTTTTAACGGCTATATTCTCCGAGTGTCCTTGGAAATCTCTCAGAAAACAACGGTCATAATGTCCTCGGAAAGTCCTCGGAAATTGAAAAACTTCTAGACGGATTTCCGACGGACGTAGATTCTTTGGAATTTTCCGACCGATTTCCGAGGAACTAGTTTATTTTCGAAAATCACTCGAAATTCCGTCGGAAAACCACATAATTTCCGACAAATTTCCGACGGCTGTATTTTCCTCGGAAATTTCCGTTTGATTCCGAGAAATTGTTTTGTTCTCGCAAATCGCTCTGAAATCCGTCGAAAATTTCCGACGGATTTTTTTCCGTCTGAAATTCCGTCGGAAATTGCGTTGCTTTCTTGTAGTTTAGTTCAATGATGATGTTTGATTTTCTTGGTAATTAATCTATCTACTGGGTTTCATGAAGTCAAGTAGATGTATCTTAGTATCTTCATAAACAGTACTTTTATTAATACAAATAAATATTTAAAAATCTTTTTATACATTTTTGTTGAAATATATTTATATACTTGGTATATATATTTAAACATAGTGAGTGGACTCGAGGACTTAATTACCTTTAAAAAAAAAATTTCTACCTTAAATTCACAATGTAGAGCCAATGATTTCGCTCTATTTTAATGATTATCTTCTATTTTAGTCCATTACAATAGTCAATAATGTAAACAAATAATGTTGTTTTTTTAAAATAACGCAAAACAATTATTAGCATAATTAAACATTATAAATTGTAGTATGGTTTTATCCATCAAAAGAATGTGAACATATTAGTGAATTTTGTGGGTTTCTTGATAGTAAAACAATATTAGTGCCAGTTTTCATGGTTTTAATTGACGTATTGTAAGAAGTAAACAAATACAATTTTTACATGTTACAAGCATCACAATATTTCACAATTTATTGTCATACTAGAAACTCACGCGTTGCGTGAGTGAGTTTGAACTAATAACAAGTCAAGAGTCCATAGCAACTGACAAAACTTCAATAAGAATTAAACTCAATGAGTTATGTGTGTTACTTCCTGGCCAAGTAATTGCTGGAAAGTGGTGCAATTATTAGGAACATGAACTGTTCCGAGATGGGCTATTGAGGGAATCGTTTTGGAGGTCGTAACAATTTCCGATGGAGCAGAAACTTTGTGGAATTGTTCATGGTATTGCGGGCTAGTTAATCAATGGTGGGATTGCGTTTCTAACGGTTAGTTCCCGTTATATTTTTATGTTTCCGGGACAGTTTTGCATAGAGCAAACAATGACAAATTGTATTGGTTGTTGGGCACACTAGCTCGGTTTGAGTTGAAACTTTTCAGGATCTTCTATGGCTTATAGAGCTAGGTCCTGGTTATTCGAGAACCAAGATGGTGAATGATATAGTTCATCGGAGAAGCGTTATCCGTGACTGGACGGAATGGGGTATTCCAGCCCATCTCTCTTGTTACTCAATCACTTTGGGGATGGTTGGTTGTGTGACTAAGTAATAGGATCAGATGGTGAATGGTAAAAAGTGATGCTGTTCGACAAAGGTCGGAGCCGATTCTGTGAATGTATAAGGTACTCGTCAAGTTAAGTAAGTTCATATTCTTCTTGTGTTGTTGCATATAATGGTTAGATGATGTTGTTAGCTTGAATTGGTCGGGGTGTCACAGTTATTTTCTCTATACCAAATATATTTTTTAATCTAAATTTTACATATTTTATAAATTTGTTGTTGATTTAAATCAGTTTTAAATTATATGAAATAATATTTAATATGCATAAAAAATGTAAATTAAATATATAAAATTTCTTATTTAATTAAGTAATTTGTATGAATAAATAGATTCGTACATCTATATTGCAAACTTAAAACCAAACAAACAAATCTTTGACATACACATAAAATAAAGATTAAAATCTACAAATGAACTAGAAAAGTGGAATCGTTTGTGTTATCCTTCTCCGAAACCTTATGATGTCATACACTGTAATGTATGACGCTTTCCGACGAGGAAGATACTTTGACACCAACAATTAGAGTGAGTCGCATTTACATCCTCGAAGCTGATCTTCGTTGATCATGTGGTATATATCGAATCAAACAATGATGTAAGAAGAAAACAATTATAGTATTTCGTGATCATTAAAATTTATTAAGCTTACCTCACATCTTAGAAATGATCTTTCACTTCTTGTGCGCAGCAAAGTTTGTAAACGATTTCATTACGCATCTGTGAAGGAAGACAAGTAAGAGGACCACACAATTTAGTTTCTAAAATCTTCACAAATTTCTCCATTTCATATGGAGAAACCTATGAAGATTTTAGAAACTAAATTTTTTTGGTTCTCTTACTGGTCTTCAATCAGAGATGCGTAGAGGAATCGCTAAACAAACTTTGCCTCACACATTGCCTGATGATCATTCATTGCCTTCTAAGATGCAATGTAAGCTTAGTATATCGTAAATACTAATGGTCATATAATTGTATATTTACTTTCTTCTTATATTGTTGCTTGATTCGATATCCACCTAATGATCAATGATCTTCATTGATGATCATGTGATTTCACTCACTTTAATTATTGGTTCTGAAGAATCTTCCGTTCTGGGAAATCTTCAAGAATCTCACAATTCAGTTTCTAAAATCTTCACAATTTCTCCATTTCATATAGTTTTATGTACTTTCTATGTGCACTTTAGAAGCTTCTCAGCAAAGATAAGACCACAACAAAGTATGCATATTTAAAATATGATATTTTTGTCTTCATTTACTATCATCAATTGCTTTTTCCAATATTGAGAAGAAAAAAAGAAAGAAAAGGAAATAAACATCCATCCAAGATTATATTAAAAAATTTAGATATTGTATTCAAGTAGATTAATTTACTTTTCTCAAGCAAGTTGTCTGTTTCGCCACAAGAGACATGATAGAACCATCCATCAACATCAATTGGCTTACCCTTTAGACCTTATTTATCTCTGTTGAAAGCACAATTTAGATGAAACTATAAGCCACAAGAGTCACATGCAACTCGTGTATGAAGATAAAGGATGGTAAATCTTGTGGCTTATCTTTCCATCTTGATTGTGCTTTGCTTCCAATAGTGATAAATCATGGAGGATAAGCCAAGTTGATGTTGATTGATATTTCCATTGTGTCTCTTGTGGCAAAACACACAGATTGCTTGAGTAAAATGAAAGAGTCAATCTTCTTCAGTTCATGTTCTACATTTTAATTTAATTTTAGATGTAAAATATCACACTTTACTGCATAAGGCATCGTAAGATCTCAGAAAAAGATTACCCAAACGATTCGACGGAGAACTCCTCCTTTTAGTTTTCATCATCATCTTTTTCATCTCCTAATCGGTTTATGAAAATTTCTATCTAAGCATATATGCACAACCAATGGACCATCTTCATATACGGGAATGACTAAAATATCTTGACTGATGCTTAATTACTCATGTGTCACCATAATGACGACACATGGAACATGAGTCTCATTAATGGCCTTGTTCAGCAGTGAGTCGCTGGTTTAGTTGAAGTTTCAGTAGCAAAGACCGAAACCACATTCCTTTCTCATGGAATAATAGTTCCATTCATTGTTTTAGGATATTTTTAGGGTTTTTGGATTTGGTATAAATATGCTGTTTAGGCATAAATTTGTATTGAGTTTTTATATATTGATTCATAAAGTTACGTTGAGATTGTTCTCCCATATGTGAATCACTAATGAATTTAACATTTGAAAGACATGAATTTTTATCTAATCAATTATAAGTGTCATATCAAAAAGGAAAACAAAACAAAACAATAATAGTCTTTCATGTTTTCCCGGCAAAGCTCGTAGTGTTTGTCCACTTTGATCACAAATCTAAAGAGAATATTGAAATTAAACCAACCGATTATATTGAATATAAAAAATTTAAATAAACATATAAAACAAGAATAAAAACCAACCGATAATAATGAAATCTTTATCGTTTCCCTAACCATGTGAGAATTCTTTTAGTTTTTGCTTGGTCTAACAACTAAATCAATAAAATTAAAGTTAAATGGTTTAAGACAGTACATCAAATACAATTTCAATCTATATGTATCAGATTCTAGAAGTGAATTAAATAGAACTTAAACATTAAGAAGAAAAAAAAAGGGACGTGAATGTACCTTGTATAGTAGAAGATTCAACACCATGTAATCAAAGGACTTCAAATGAATTGCTCTCAAGTCTCATCACATCTTCGAGACAAATATATAAAGATACATGAGCAAATGTATTGCAAAAAACCAAACAGCACATATTGTTTGATAACAATAAACTGAACAAGTTTTTTTATTGAAAGAGCATGACAAACAGACAAAGCTAATTTCTTTCTAACGCCCAATACTATTCACCTGACTTACACTCTTGCTGTATTCTAAACCCATGCAACAAATTAACAACGATCAGTGTATTGTGTATACGTTTGTCCCTTCCCTAATTAAATAGCAAGAAAATAAAAAAAGTTATAGCAAGAAATTACCTTTGTGTCAAAAGGCCCTCACGTTCAAGCAGATCTCCAAGCGGCTTCAACGAGTTAGTGTCAAACAAAACTCATGATTCAGCTAACAATATAAAACAAAGAAAGGGAATAATAATCAACCAATTAAATTGAATCTGTACCATTAGTTTCGCTAACCATATCGACAATTTGAGCCATTGGAAATTCTTTTAGCTTTTGTTTGCTTGCTTGGTCTAGATCTGACAAATAAATAAAAGTTAAATGTTTTGAGACAGGTTTATCAGATATTTGATCAAAATTAATAGTGTCTTGCCTGTATTGATTCCTTCTTCTCGTACATGTGCTAGTAAAATGAGATCTTCATTATCACCATTCTCGCCTTCGGATCTGCTTCATCGATCTTCAACAATGAGTCAGAGAAGTTTAGGCGGCTACGTTCGTGTCTTTCCAGGATGACTATAGAACCTGATATGTTTTGTTATATATATATATATATGTTCACCGAAGAAAATGTGTCCAAAACCCTAATTACCTTTTCTTTAGAGTGTGTCAGCCATGTTAGGTGTCACAATATCTTTGGACAACAAGATTTCTTACCATTTTCATTTACTTAATATATCTTATCCTAAACTCTCTTTATTTGGACATCAAGATTTCTTACCCTTTTCATTTACTTAAGATATCTTATCCCAAACTCTCCTTATTTCAGCAAATATTATATAGATTAATCTAATTATTTTCTTCCTTTTTTTTTAATTTTAACATTTTCTTTTATTGGATGGTTTTTGTCTTTCTTTTCTTTTGTCACGAAATGATTTTGTCTATAAAATAGATAAATAATTTGCAATTTTAATAATTTTCTAAATGATTTTAGTTTCAAAATATTTTCTTCTACAACAAACCATTTGAAAATGTATGAATTCTATTATCAAAAATGGATTCAATTGTGAATTAGAGTAATAAATTTGCCGTGGTGAAAAAACAGTGAAAATGTAATAATGGTCTGAATATTAAACTGTTTGAATACATTACAATTTAAAATATATCTATATCCTAAGAAACAACTTTTTAATTATTAAAAATATGAATTAAAATATTAATATATATATATATGTATTATTTTGGTTTAGGATGTATACCTATCTTTTTATCCCGTCCTTGATGTGCACCTTCTTCTTTATCAAAATTATTTATCACATTATATTTACTATCTTTTGATTGATTACACTCAAGCAGTAGACATAATGATAAAATATATGCAATCACGTACTATATAAAAGATAAGATATCACCTTCTAACAATAACAAAAAATTAAGATACCCAAAAAAAATTAAGATAACTGAAAAATATTAAAAATATATCTAGAAGCTATATTATATTTTATATGCTAAATAAGATATAGTTTAATATAGATTTTATATTAATTGCTAAAAATATATATATCTCTTAAAAAGTACATGATCTAACATTCTACTGCAGTTAGATTTTTTTAATATTGGATTTATTATTCGATTTTAGCAAATCTAATATTAATATATACGAGATTAATTTTGACCCGTATTATTGTCACATTAAAAATAGGTTAATAACTTAATGTGATCATTGTTGTTCATTGTTGATGTTTGATTTTCATGGTAAGCTATCTACTGGGTTTCATGAAGTCGACTAGATGTATCTTAGTATCTTTATAAAATCTGCTTTAATTAGAAATGCAAATAAACATTTAAAAATTATTTTATACATGTTTTGATGAGATACAATGAGGAAGAAGATGGCGTGGCCAAGAGATCAGTTTTAGTTATTTTAATTAGTGGGAATGTTAACTTGCCTACGTTTCACGTTTCTTAGTAGTTAGTTATTTCTTGGTGTATATAAGCATCGTTTATTGCAGAATCTAATATGAAGAGAGAAATTACAGTAACTTGTTCTAAAAATCTTTTGAGAACCAAAGTGTTCTTGTCTTTGTTTTGATAGCATTGATTGTCCTAAACTAGGACCTATCAATATGGTATCAGAACAGTTCTATCGTTCATTTGATTCGGACCACTTTGTGGGGTGGTATCAAAGTATGGGAAGCAACATGGAGATAACTCATGATGAGCTCTTCCATGAAGTGCTTGATGAATTGAAGAAGATTAAGGTGAAGGTCGATATGATGGATGGAGGGTCTTGAAGAGAGAATGAATCGTCCGGTGGAGATAACAAGAAGTCTCAAAGATGATTGTGGAAGAGCTAGAAGCCAAAACGTGAGAGTTGTAGCTCGTCTAAGCACAAACCAGAGTTGGTTTTACACAATCTCAGAAACATGGTATGCTTCCTCCATCACCTTCCTTATGGTGGAGATTACAAATCACATCCCATGTGCTATCGAGGAAGTTTGATCTCTAATGGGTAGAGTTGGCATCAATGGGAAACGACCGTGCGACCGTGGAAAAGCTTGGATCTTGAGGGAATATGGTAAAGTAACGGCAGAACAAGTTGAGTACGGAGACAAAGAAACCCAAGTACTTGCACATGAGAAAGAAGAAGGCGACACGAAGACATAAAGAAAGAAAAATATGACATGGAAACAAACCATGAAGATCATATACAAGGAAATAAGTTTGTGTCTGAAGTGTCGGTGTCGAACCTTGAGGACAAGGTTCTTTGGAGGTTGGAGTATTGATGAGATACAATAAGGAAGAAGATGACGCATGGCCAAGAGATCAGTTTTAGTTAGTTTAATTAATTAGTGGGAATGTGTTAACTTGCCCACGTTTCACGTTTCTTAGTAGATAGTTATTTCTTTGTGTATTTAAGCATCATTTATTGCAGAATCTAATATGAAGAGAAAAATTATAGTAACTTGTTCTAAAGTCTTTTAAGAACCAAAGTGTTCTTGTCTTTGTTTTTTATAGCGTTGATTGTCCTAAACTAGGACCTATCATGTTTTGTTAAATAGTCGGAATTGATAACATTGTGAACTCGCGCCCGCCTCGATCCATCATTGATTCGGTACAAAACAAGGAACTTCCTCTCAACACTTTGATCTCAACTAATGAATCATATCACGCTTGGAACCATGATCTCTCATTATGTTGCTCCAAATTGATAAGATCATAACCAAGATTAAGGAAGACTTGGTCAAGGAGCAAAGAAGAAACAAACCATTCCTTTTTTATATAAATATATATGGTTAGCTGAATCACGAGTTTTGTTTGAAACTAACTTGTTGAAACCGCTTGGAGATCTGTTATAACATTTTTTTTTCTTACCGTCTTATTTATTTATTTATTTAACCGGGAGTTGTCTCCTAGTTCACATCCATGTGGCGGGAGTTGTCTCCTATGTTGGAGATATAATCCAAGTCCCACATCGGAAGTTTGATGGGACAATCAATAATATATAAAGGGTTAGGGCCAATCCACTAATTGCCAATTGGTTTTTAGTTGGAAGCCCAGAATTAGCCCAAATTTAACATGGTATCAGAGCCCAAGATTCAAATTCTGGTGGACCTAGAAAAGTGGATACGGACATACCTCAAACCCGAGTAGTGGGGGCCCGAGAAAGGGGCTTATTATTGGTCCGAGTGAGGGATCGAGGAGGTGTGTTCAGATCCATGTGGTCCTTGGATTGAAGGGGAGATTGTTGGAGATACAATCTAAGTCCCACATCGGAAGTTTGATGGGACAATCAATAATATATAAAGGGTTAGGGCCAATCCACTAATTGCCAATTGGTTTTTAGTTGGAAGCCCAGAATTAGCCCAAATTTAACATCCTAGTGGTACCGCCACCTGGATTCGATTCCTGGCCACTGCGGAATTCACATGGCGGCTGCAGGCTTCCAAGACCACGTCAGCTCCGTTTGGACACGACGCTAGTCGGGCCACTTCGTTGGGACCGGACACCTGGGTTATCAAAAAAAAAAGAAAAAAAGAAACAAACCCTTAGTGTATCCCTTAGTTTTAGGGAGATCAATTTCCACGTTTTCATTTTCCCACTTTGTTAATTATGTTCTTTGTTTCTAGGATTGGTGATCGATCCACTTTGCTTCCTTTGTGTATTTAAAGACACCAATGCCATTATGATGAAGTAGAATTGTGTTACAATTCTTTTTGGCTTTGAGGAGGAACCACCTAACACAAATGATCATTTTAGGGTGATATATGTTGCTTCAAGTCTGGAAATTATCGAATATCCCGAAAATCAAACACTTCCTATGGAGAGTTTTTTACATAAGAAATGTATTGAATCGGTTCTTTTGAATGAAGTCTCTGGCTTTGGCAACCTCTACACGACTTATTACTAAGGGAATGAGGATTGCTCCGGGTTGTACTCGCTGTAGTAATGGAGAAGAAACATTTAACCATGCTCTATTCGCCTGCCCATTTGAGAACATGGCTTGACTGCTTTCTAATACCCCTTTTATCACTTCCAACCAACTTCTGTCTAATTAATTAATATTCTTGAAATCTATAATACTCAGGACATTCCAAACACACAAAAGCTTCTACCTCTATGGCTCTTTTGGCGAATTTAGAAAGCATGAAACAATTTCGTTGCATATACAAGCAAGACCAACTGCAACTCAGGAACCAAAATGGTCAAGACCATCTCTTCCGTTTATTAAGCGTAATTTTGAAGCATGTTTCAATACAAATACTTCTCATGCCACAACTGGATGGATTGGACTATACGTGATCATACCCTTTCATAGGGTTCGACTAAGTTGGAACATGCTTCTTTCCCACTAGGAGCTGAGACAAAAGCATGCATCATTATATACTCGCTATGCAAAAAGTTTGGATTCACGGATTCAAATATGTTATTTTTGAAGGAGACTATAAGGTTCCTATCGACATCATCAACGGATAAATGAAGCGCTGCGAAATATCGAATATACTTTTGGATAATCATTTAAGGAACTCCAAGTTTTCATCTACGTGATTTTGCTATATTAAGCGAATATGGAATAATGCTGCACATTATCTAGCTAACTTTGGTTGTAATATTTCTTGTTTTTATTCTGCTTCTGTAGATCAGCCGATGTGGCTAAAACAACAACTTTGTACTGAATTGATTAGTTCAATCTAATTCTGGTTTGACGAAAAAAAAAAAAATCTTTATAACCTCTGCTTTTTAGCTATACAAATAAAGAAAAACAATAGATTTAAAAAGTCTTTGTATACTTGGTATGTATTTGGCGGACTGAGTAAAGACTGTTTAAGCTTCGAATTTGTGCTTCCTATATAAATGTCTCTTCATGTACTCAAAACTCATATATAACAACCAAATCTTAATCTCTCTAATGAAAACAAAAAATAGTATATTACGAATTGAGATACCAATATAAATCACTATAATACGTAAGACCCTTAGAACCATGGGATCAAAAAATCGTAAACCTCCATTAACGGTCATCAAGCATTTTCATCTTTTCTTGTTTGTGGTATTAAATATACCACAAACACAAGTCTTAGTAGAATGCAAGTCTTGCCGATCATTCTCTATGCTAAATATAATATAATTTCACTATGACATCGTTCATTTCGATCATACATCATAGAAGTAGAAAGATAAACAAGAGTAGAGTCCAATTATAATGAATAATTATCTGCTTGCATTTTTCCAACTTTAAT